GGCCCCGGAGGCCGGCGAGGGGCAGGTGCCGGCCTCCGTCACCGCATTAACCTCTTCGGGGCTCGGCGGCGGGGTCGAGACACTTTACAAATGGTCAGCTTTAATCATGGTGTCAGCTCATTAACCCAGGAGGACCCGGCGCTGAAATACCATTTGTGCGCGCGGCTCTGCCGGCCGGCGCAGGCTCCGGGGCCACGCCGCGGCCGCTCTCGCTCGCTCCCACCTGGTCGGGGGGTAGAGGGGAGGTTCCTGGAAGGGAACACCCGACTTTCTCACCCGCCTGCGGCCTCCCCGCCGACCACGGGCACCTTCCCTGGGCGCCGTCTGCAGGCGGCGCGGCGGGAGACTGGCCAACCGGAGGCGTGGAACCCGCCGCCCGCAGGGGAAGGGGGGGAGGGGAGGAGATGGTTGAACCCTCCTGAGCCAGCAGGTACTCGGTGCCCGCAGCCAGGAGCACGCGGGGAACATCCCGTCACTGGCCACTTGAATCCTCACAGCAAACCGGTGGTGCAGATCCTTGCCCCCAAAGTAAAGGCCAGGAAACGGAGGCTCACACCGAGTGACCAGGCCAAGCGGAGTCACAATACTGAAGTTCAAGGCTGTTCCACTGTCAACACCAGGCCCTGGCATTGAGCTTAGGGACCGCCCCTCTCAGGACGTGGGGGCGGACCTGTGTGTGGGGTCGAGGGCCCCGAGGGTTGGCCTCTGATGGGGCAGGGACCTTGCGAGTGGGTGGCCAGGCCTTTGGGGTGGGCCTCAGAGAAGCAGCTCCGAAACCTGGGAGGGGAGGGTCTGGGGTCTGACCCAAGCAACCTGATTTGAGGGCTCTAAGCGAGGAAACAACCAGCCTGGCAACCCCACAACCTCCCCCNAGCCATCTGGCCTCCTGCCCCGCCTCTTCGCCACGCCCACTCCAGTGGACCTTCGGGTCTACCCCAGAGGTGCGCTGCGCCCCTGCGCGCCCCGTCCACCGGGCCGCGCGCCCTGCACATCCAGGGGCTCGCGCTGTGTGCAGCGTGCCCGCACTTGCATAAACGCTCCCACACGCACATTCAGTCCGCAAACGTCCACTGAGCTCCCACTAGCGTGCGTGTCACACACACACACACACACACACACACACCCCTCTAGGCTAAACCGGGAGTGTGATCGTGGGCACAGGGCGGAGGCGGAGAGACTGGACCGAGACTGGGGAGACTTCTGGCTCTGCAACCCCGTGGACTCTCCTCTGGCCTCTTCTCTGCTCTCCTTAACCGGTCACCTCTGGACCTCCCGTCCCCCTGCACACACAGCAGTCACACCTCAGGGGCCTGAGTGCCAAGACACTATCTTCCGGCCACTTCGGGCATCCAAGGGTCCCCGAAACTTCAAAAGCGCAGAGGCCCAGGCGCCCTGTCATGGGCCCAGCCCCGCTGCAAAACGCACTCCCAGGAACCCTCCGCTCCAGGAATCCCCACCCACAGACACCGGGTCTCGCTGCCCTCGAGGGTGGCAATGCGTTAACTCCGTGCCACCTCCGACCCCACCCCACCCTCCTAGTCTTGGGAGAGCCCCACCCCTCCCAACTCCATTCAGATTAGCAGCCGCTACCCAGGAGAATGACCCCTCCTCCTTTTGCGGTGGGGATAGGATGCCCTTGGGATGCCCCTGGGGTCCTCCCACCCCCAAGGGATTAGGCTTAACCGGGTTCCAAATGACAAACTTTCCGAGACTGAAAGGACGCTTAAAGTTTAGGTCTGGAGATTAGAGCGCTGCTCAATAGTAAAGCGGCCCAGGGCGAACTCACGGACGCTAATAAAAATGGATCCTCTGTGCTCTGCGGCAGTCGGGAAATAGGCTGGCGAGCGGGTAATAGTGGAAGAAGGCTCTCCCCGGGATGACAGATGAAGTCATAAACAAGTTTGATCTCGGAATCAAGCTTCGATAAATATTAAACACAGTCTGACCCCCCCTCCTGGACGCCAGTGGATTATGATATATGGCGCGTCCAAACTTTAAAATAAGGAAATACCAGAGAAAATTATCTCAATAAATTTTCTAAGTATAAACGTTGATTATGTTTCGATTTTCATTCAAGGGCCTCTGCTGTTCGTTCTTTGGTGCAAATGACATCTCACGATAGGCTTTTGGGGGAAAGGGCTCCCTATTTGAAAGAGAGAGCCCCAGAGGTGTACAATTTATGTAATCTGCGGCTGGGAAATGAATTGTGTAATTTATTAGAAAACAGAAAGTCCTGAAGATTGGATCAGCATAGCCGAGTCCCGACACCCCCCACCCCCACCCCACATCCATCAAGTTCCAATTAACAGCCTAACCAGAGAGCTTTAATGGGTTTCCAATCTAGTGGCCTGATAGACTCATCAATTCCTCTGGGAGAAATTAAGAAAATCGACCGCCCCTTGGCGACGCAGTGTCATTCCTTTCTGCAACTATATGTCAAATTAAAAACACAATTAAAATTTAAACTGTTTCAATCAAAGGGTGCCCTGCAACCTATGTTTCACTTAATAGAACTTTGATGAAAATCTGATGCGTGCACTCCATCACCAAGGGGGGTGAGGGCGGAAGGCGCTCGGGAGCCCAGGGGATTCTTTCTATTTCTTTAAGACATTAGCGCTGGGGTGAGGCAGCCAGGTGAGTCCCCCTCACCGCTTGGGGCTGAGCGAAGGCACCACGCGCTCGGAAGCGCTCCCACTCTCGGGCTGTACACCTCTCCCGAAGCTCTTTCCCTTCCCTCCGCAACCGAAAGGGACCCTTTGGGAACCCCCGCGACCCCGATTTTGGGCAGTGGCACCCGGAGCTGCATCGCCCGCAGCAGCGGCCCAGCAAGGGGCCTGGGCAGTGCAGCCCATCCCGGCCTCACATCCCGGAAAACTGCCCCACACCGAGCGAAGTTGTTCAGCATCGGCAGGCTGAAGGGTGCGAAGAAATCCCAGGTGGAGAAGTGAACCCAGTGGGGGCTGGGCCTGCGCCGCCGTGGGAGACCCCAGTTCCCAGCTGTCGCTCCCCCGACAGGCCTGCTGGGTGCTTGCGCAGGAGACGCGCCCCCGGGGACGAGTGCAGCCCAGGTCTCAGCTCCAGACCCGGGTCCCAGGCAGCGCGGCCAAGGGCAGCCGGCCCCGTTCTCTCCGAGGCCCTTTCCTTTCTGCCGCGGCCCAGCCACCTCACAACCCTTTGCAGGCGGGAGCACGTGCACACACGGCGCGCACTTCCACATGAGTGTGCACAGATGGCCCCTACCCCAAATCCAGGGAGGGCCTGCACGCAGGGGGCAGAGCCGGCGGGAAGCCCAGAGCAGGAGCCCCGAGGATTGCCTCCCTCAGGCCTTATGTGCACGTGCCGGCCCCGGGGTGTCCCCTGGGCTTGTCCAGCTGCGTTTTGGACCCCAAACGGGGATTTCTGTGGGGCTTAGGGTTCTTGCACTCTGACCCCGTCGGGGTGACCCAGTAGAAGAGCTATTTTCCCAGCGGCTCTGCAGAGTCTACTTTTGGGTCCCTAAAGGGAACCAGCCCCCTGGAGAGGTCACCTGGCCTCGGGGCGTTGACAACCGCAAGAGGTGAAGCAAAATGGTGGAGTCTTCTTCGAGGCGCACCAGGCCGCGCCTGGCAAAGTCCGCGGCCCTCCCAGCCTCCCCAGGGACGTTCAGGCGCCCGGTGCGCACAAACGGGCGGAACCAGGAGCACGTGGCCCGGGTCCAGGCAGCCCAGCCACCGGAGGCCTCTCTAGAGCTGCGCGGCCCTTTGGGCCCCATGGTTCTGACTCCCACCCCCAGCGCCCAGGCCGTACGTAGGTGGCCCGGCAGGCACCGCAGACCAGAAAGCAAACCCCACCGACCTTCTTGCCTCCTCCACTTTCCCCGAGCGGTGCCCCCCAGCGCGCGCAGGGCGCGAGGGGAGGAGGGCGTTGTGGGCTTCTCGAGTGTGGCCTCTGGCTCTGGCGTGCCCGCAGCTGGCCAAGGGGACGTCCCGGCTCAGAATGAGCGCCCAGCGGCGGGGGCAGTTTATATCTGTCTTGCTGTTGTTTGATGTACACACACTTGCTCTATTTACTACCAAATAAAAGAAATACATCTGTGTTGCCAACAGAAACAGCTCGCGCGCTGGCTCCAGCGTCTCCCAGGGCTCAGTGGCCCGCACAAGAGCGCGCACGCAGGCCCGCGTGGGTGCTCAGAGCGGCAGAGACTGCACTGTGGGGACCTGGGCTCCCCGTGAGGCCCTGGCCCCTAGGAGTGTGGTGGTCCTTCCCAGGGTGTTGGCAAGCGTGGCTAGTTTCTCTTAGGTGGCTTGTCCGAGGAGGGGGCATGAGGCACCCCTGGGGAAGGGTTTCCCCACCTTGCTCCTTGCCCCATCCTTCCCATGGTTTCCCCAGCTGCCCAGAGTAACCTTGAACAAGGCGGGCCTGACTGTGCGTTAATGATGGCTGTGATGCCAAACACATGTGGGCAGTGCCCTGGGAGCCCCTGAGTGGGGTGTCGAAATAAATGTGTGTGTTGTGGTTTGTTGTTTGTGTGTGTCTGTCTGAGTGATGCAGAAAGGACTTAGCTGGGAAGCCAGTGTCCTTTGCACTGATTGAAGATTAATCGGGACTGCGGACAGGGAAGGACCTGAGCTTAGGGTGGGAGGAGAGGAGGCTGAGTTCCATGTCTGAAGGGAGGGAAGGTAGGGTAAAATCGGGCCTGCTGGTTCAGTGTCCTGGGGCGGGGGACACTGACTGCCCTGGCTCCCCTTGGTGGACCCTGTTGGGGGAAGTGGGTGGAGGAGCCCTCACTCCCGCAGACAGCCCCCTCTGGTGAGTGGTGTCGGCAGCTGCCCTCAGTCCCTTGCAGAGGCAGAGGGAAGGGAATGGGGCGGCGAGGGGGGGGGACCCCAGCCAGCTGTCCAAATGTGACAGCTCTACCAACTGCTCTCCTGGCCTCTCCTGACTGGGAGGCCTCAGAAGGACCTGCCGTGGAGCCTGGGATGCTTGAGTGTGGAGTGCCGGGGGCTCCCGGCTCTGCTCCCTGGCTCAGCCTCTTCTCTTGAACTAGGAGAGATGCCACAACCCCACCTGACTGGAGGGGAGGGGACATTCTCCCCGGGCAGGCTTCTAGGCTCTGGGAGCCCCAGCCGCCGGCAGCGCCACCCCGCCCCCAGGGCGCAGCGTGCGGCTCGGAGAGAACCCGGAGAGGGCCCAGGGCTCCTCTTTAGGAGGGAAGGGGAGGCCCGGGGAGCAGGACACGGGATAAACTGAGCGTGTGAAGAACCAGTTATTTCTCGACTTTGTAAAGACTGGGTCAGTCAAGAACCGTTTTCTAGAATCCAAACACAAATAAAGTATTTTCCTGGCGTTTGATAACATCGTGTTCTGGCCGTAAAATCTGAGGACGTGTTTGCTGTTGCAACATCGTTTTTAATGAGCTGTTATTGGCCTGTCCTGCGGTTAGTATTGCCAACAGTAAAAGGCTTCGCTGTGTTTGCAGGTAACACAAGGAACAACATATTTTGACCCCGAATTTCTGTTTATTTTTCATTTACGACACATGCCCTCGTTTTTATTCCAAACCAGAGGGAAATAAAGGGAGATCTATCTTCACTGAGGTCCCGGCTAAAATTTGGCCATAAATACTCACGCCAGTTTACTGGGCCAGTTTCCCGTCAATGGGAAACGATCCTGGACGCCTCAGCCACGGTGGAATCACGCGTGCGGCCTGGGTTTGAGGAACCCGGCAAGGCGCCGGGAGAGGGGCTGGGAGGCAGCAGGCGCTCCCGGCGGACGCGCCCGCGGTGCTCTCCGCAACCTCCGCCCTCTCCCGGGGCTCGCCGCCCCGCGGGCTCCCCAGCTGCAGACGCGCCCTACCCGGGGCCG